TATATATAAACTTTGCAAAATTGTACAGTTTTTAAGAAAATTAACTTATTTGTTGTCTAGGCCTGTGAAATTTCGGTGTTACTGAGTTGGTGCTAGCATAAATAAGCGTTTGTTTTATATTGTAAGGTCTTATTTGTATCTAAATATGTTCAGATCTGAAATGAGCTCATTCATTCATTCCTTCACTCATCTCTGAGTGGCCAGGAGGGAAACAGAAGAAAGAGATGAGAGCGAGCTAAGTGCTTTTTAGTGACTCAGTGACAGCCGTGACCAAAATCGTATTAAGGTCACAATGGAGGTGGTGGGGCGGAGTGAAAAAAAAGAACTTCTCAAATAAATCAATCCTCGCGTCTGATTTTTATTTTTTTCCCCAAAAGCTTCTCTATCTGCAGCTGGGTGAAATGTGGCTTTCCGAGACGCACATCACAGTTACATCTCAGTCTGTGGTGAAACATGAGCAGACATGACACCAACAAATTACTGTGAGTGCACTGACGGGTGACCCTGTTGCATCCCTCATAGCGTCTTCTGGTCAAGTGAAAGGGTTACATGCTGGACCGTAGCATCAGGGAGTTGTGTTTCCTAGTTGGGGGTAGTCTGCGGAGGGTTAGAGGGATTTCATCCACATCTTTTACTCCCTTCTCACACCATCTCCCCTTGAGATTGCATCGTATACTACTTCTCACATCCCCACCACTAATGCTTTTTTTATAGATCATTACCCCGACTCTCCCCTCGCCACTGTTAGCGATCGTTCAATCAGAAACGTTAGCTTCCCCGTGGTCCCTGTTGTGTGGCGGCTGCTCATGGGAGGTGAGGAAGCTTCGATCAGGCACATTAGGCTGTTTGCTTTGATTTGATGCATGGGGGTCTGCATGCCGTTCCATGTTATTGGCAAATCCGAGTCGCCAGTAATGGTGATTCACTAGTAGCCCAGAGCAACTGGTGCTCAGTTCTAGCTATGAATGTATCCACGACAGCCTGGGTGTTTGTCGTTAATGAGGTGCCTCGATGTACTGGCGTTCAGGTTTATGATCTGACAAGGAGACAACTTGTTAAAAGGCTCCAGCCATTATTTCTCTCTCCTTTTCCCCAACTCTGTCTCATTCGTTTCTTTTCCCATTGGCCTACTGGTTCCCACTTAACACTGACATCATCTAATAACTTTCCCACCTTTCAAACTTCTCTCTGCTTTCACCTATCCTCTGACCTCCATACCTCACTTGGTTGCTGTCTTCGTTTTGGTGGAGGGGACTCTTGTAAGCTCTGGTAACAGAGGTTAATCCTCTCTTATTAGAAGCAGGATTACTGGAGGGAAAGGGACAGGAGCAGACAGGCAGGGTGGATGCTAACCTCAACCTCAAATAAGGAGAATGACAAAATGTCATGACTGACCTAAGAGGCTTGTCTAAAGAGAAAGTGATATATAGAGGTTTAGGATGTAATAGCCTCAGCAAGTTGCTCTTAACAGGCTTCTAGTGGACTTGTTGAGCTGCAGAACCTTAAGATTGTGCACATTTTGTTTGAATGTTCGAACTGCTGTTTAATATATCGTATTATTTCACATTATTAGTGTTTAGCATATATCTTAGATCTTTTAGCGTATAGTTTAGCGTTCGTTTAGCATATATCTTATATCCTTGTATACTATTTCGCTTTTTTATACTTTATATTTTTGCTATTTTGGGGTGTAACTGGGACCTTGAGTACACAATTTTGTTCCACCTCATGTACCATGTGATGTGAATGACAATAAAGAACCTTGAAGCAATTCACTGACATACTGTTTAAAAATTCTTATGATATCCATTTGTTTTTTTCTTAAAAATAAGCTAATTTACTTGTCATAATCTTTTTTTTTGTTTTGTTTGTTTGTTTACTTTTTTATAATTTCAAGCAGCTCTTGAGGAGTCCTTAAATTTTGATGGTCTTTCCAAAATTTCCTCTCACTTTAGTCTAGTCCTTGCACCTGACCATTTTCAGGCACTCTCCTGAAAATAGTCATGTAGACGTACTGGATCGGAAATGAAAAATGAAAAACATTAAAATAGTTTTAGAAAGATGAGAGAACTGCCCCACAGGACAATGAAATACACGTTTGCCTTTTTAGAAGCAACATGTGAAACATGACTTTTGCACAAAGAAATGATGATCCCCTGATGATTTTCCTCACATCCAAAGCAATGAACTGTTATTTTTTTGTGTATTTTTTTTTCTTTTTTCTTTGAAAGCTCAAGAAACAAATGTTTAATTTGTCATTTCTACTAACCCGGTGCTCCTCTTCTTCTTTTATTTGACTGAAAAAAGAGTTCTCACAGGATTAATCTGTTCTTTGTTTTCTGTCTTTCTCTCCCCTTCATGCCTAAAACTAGAAGTGGAACAAAAAGGTAACTAAATGCCAACAACTTTTCTTTTTTCATCGCCCTTTTCATTTACTGCACGTCTGTGTTATCATTTCCTGGTGACGGGTCGCTACTTCCGGTTTCTGGCCTTTTTCATTTCTGTGTTCAGTGTTTGTTTCATTGGTGTGGTTCATTGTGTAATTCATGGGGGAAATTACATTGTTCTAATGAAATGCATTACCAGACATTAAATATATATTTTATAAATCAACTCAATTACGATTGAATATAATTTTATTTTTTATGGCACATATTTATGACATAAGATAGCTTAGAGCAGGGGTTCCTAATACTGGTCCTTGAGGAACACCATCCTAATACAAAGTAGTTTTAGTTGTTTCTCTGCTCCGACACACCTGCTTTTAATAAATGGGTGATTTGCAGGCTTCTGCAGAACTTGAGGATGTAATTAAATCACTTAATCAGGTATGTTGTAGCAGGGAAACAACTAAAAAATGCAAGATGGTGTTCCTCAAAGACCAGGGTTGGGAACCCCTGTCTTAGAACACTTTACCAAAATCAAATAGAACAGACTTAATGCCCTATTTCATTCAGTCCCATTCAAGTTTAAATTCAGTTGCATACAGTTTTATTCAAAGACCACAATCTTTATTTTGTCTACATTTAAATTCAGAAATTATGCAGGCTTTGTGCATATACCACATGCTTGTAGGTTTAGTTTAATAATCAAGCTTCGTGGATGACTATAGCTGCGTGTCATCAGCTAACAATAAGTATTAATCCCATGAGGCCTAATAATTTAAATGGTAACTGGTCTGTACTAATATGACACCTTTTTATCTAATCAATGTACCCAAAGTGCTTTACAATGCAATCTGTGCCCTCATTTACTCAACCGCGCACACATACATACAACACTCTGCTAGATCTCTACAAAGCTAATCTGAACAAATCCTTCTATAGAGACTAATCCGTGCTTTAGACCACATTCATACATCAATGGGACACACAATGGAGGCAATGAGGGGTTCATTGTCTTGCACAGGGACACTTCAACATGTGACTGCATAGTGGTGGAATTGAACCCCCAACTCTCCCATTGGCGGAGGACTGCTCTAACCACTCAGCCACAGCTTCCCCGAACTAACAGAAGTTAAGCATATAAAATGTAAAGAGCACTGGTCTAAGCACTGAACTCTGAGGAACTCCATGACTATCTGGCTGATAAATTACATGAAATACACTGGAATTTATCTTTAGTCAATTAATAAAAATGCTGTATGGCTTTTAATAAACGTGTCTTGATTAAAATTTAAAAAGGTTTTGTTTAAAATTCAAAATATTTTCCAAATTGAAGACATTATTCTTTGAAGTAATGCACATTGCCCACCTATTTGCATACCAAAATTGAAGGCCCAGATCTGTTGGAACTCAGACTAAGTCATAATGATGACTCTCAGCTGCTACCACACCAAACCTTAACTGAATTTCTGTAAATTTGTCCTAGTTAAAGCCTTTTTATGTTTTTTACTAAGGGTGAATTTCTAGGACAGTTAAGTGGATTAACTCCAGAAATTAATCAGTTGTATATTCATTCAACCTTTATGTATACAGGTTAGTCTCATTGAGTCACGAGGACTCATTTAAAAAAAAGAGACCTGTTGTATGAAAATCCAGTAATTTCATCCATTGAAAGCATGTTTTCTGTATACATCTGGTGCCAGTTCCAAGCATGTAAAAATGGTGAGGGCATTTGTGCCAAAGCTAACACGTGAATCTTCATCTGTCCTACCTGAGCTATGACTGCTTTACCAGATCAGTCATGGCCTGGGTTAACACTAACTGACTCTGGCACCGTTACCCAGCAAGGTGGCGGTTGATGTTGGACGTAGAGACTAATGATCTGCTGTTGTGACCCCTGTAGAAGAAAAAGATATAGAGATCTGTTGTTTTTTTTAGCTTCATTGAGATCCATATTGCCGTCCATGAGATATTTTGCTAACAAATACAGACACAAACAATTACTTGATTGCTTGCCTTATAGCCGTTTGCAATGTAAACCAACTTAGTGTTGTCGCTTTAGTCCCTATACCAATATACAGTTCTGTCTCCTGTAGATTTGTATTGATTGATCTCAAATGTCAACAGATACTTTTGACATTGCAACATATATGATGATGCCACAAGGTAAAACACAGTTAGAAACTGGCTTCCTGATGAAAACGTTTAAGTCCAGGATATATTTATTCTCCGCAATAACTGAAAATCATTCCTGCTCTGCTTTACCCGCTGCGTAATATTAAAGCAGAAGGCTATAGCGCCTGATCAATAGCTCGTCCAATAAGTTGTCAGCATTTTTCAAACAGCTCCTACATGATGATGGCTATAACCTTCAGGGACTCACAGGTCAATACTGCAGATAGATTATTGCAGTGGCAATCTTACATTATCAGCACTGTATGAAGCCGGACTACATATTCTGAAGCTTCACCGAGAGCCTCGGAGGTTTTGTTTCTTCAATCAGCTACAAATACGTCTGTTGTTGGCCAATAAATATAAAGATGTACTCATGTTAAATAAGACAACATAGGCACAAGACAGTATGATAGAAAATTTTACGTTTTCAGTGCACATCAGTCATTACAGAGCAAGTGAAAGCTGGGCGAGAATGTTATTGTTTGCGCTGTCTAGTGGATGGATTTTATTGTAACTCTCAGAAATGAATCATTAGATTTATATCTATAATTGATTAGGTGTAGAAGTCACCATGATTCAAGATGTCTGCCACAGATACGTAACCTTGACAAACACAAAAACGACTCCAAATCAGTTAAATCTCAAGAAACTGAGCTAAAATTTGGCATGTTGGTAGTCGAGAGTCATGCACAACACATATCCTGTTGATTCAAAGTCCTTCATTAAAACATTATTATTAACTTCTAGAGTTAACCCTATATGTTTGTTAGCAGAATATTTCATGAACCACTGGACAGATTTGGATGAAATTCTCAAAATGTAATCACTGGTTGTACATCTACAGCTGATTTTCTTCAACTGAGCCAACCTGATTTAAGATGTCCGCCACAGCTAATCGATCATAGACATGACAAAAAGAACTCCAAATCAGCTACTTTTATAGATACTGAGCTAAAATCTGGTGTGGTAGTAGCTGAGGTTCACACGAGACAATCATATTTTCCTGGTATGACAAAAATAACTATAACTCTGTCATGTCTCAACACACAACTGCATGCAAATGCATTTTATTTTAAAACTCTTATATGAAAGGCGGTGGGCAGCATGCCATCCTTCAAGGTAAGCTAAGCCTTTAAAAAAAATCTGACAGAAGAGAATGACATCAAAGTAAATGTTTGAAAACATTCCCCATGAAAACCATAATTGTCTTATTTTTCTATTTGTCACACATGGCTTCATCTCTGCATTCACACCCGTAAAAAGCATCTTTTTAAAACACTGCATTGATCCTCACACTGTGCTGTCAGTACAAAGCTTTCCTACTCTGACCTCGTAGCCTAGCACATCTTGTGTTTTTTTTTTAACGGGAGAGAAACAGCTCCCTCAGCATTTAGCAGAGCAAACGCTGAGCTGTGCGCCGAGGCTCTGTGTCACCAGGATGCATCTCACCATATTTTCACCTGCAGATAGACAACATGTTTAATCTTGGGAGATTACAAGGGAAAGGAAGGCTCTGTTTTCTCTGTCTCTTTCTCCCGCTTTCCCCTCGGAGCACGCAGTTTCTACCTCTCGACGGATCTGCGGCAGAACCTGTCAGCACTCTGTCAGGATGATGCCCTGCCCTAGGGAAAAAGGCTTTCTCACATACTGTTTTATTTCTGCACCCTTATGAAAAAGAAACTTCCCTTTTTTTGCTCTTTTTTTATCATATTTGCATTTTTTTTAAATAATTTACTATATTTTTCTGACTATAAGTCACACCAGATTATAAGGTGCATTCAGCGAAACAAAACAGTCAGATAAGTCAAACTTTATTCAACTCATTCACAATAACTCTTGTAGCATGATACTGCACTCCTCTAACTATGACCCCTGACCCTTGGGTGTCTTCCATTATTCCATTTATTGTTACATTGTTCAGTTGTAACACATAAAATACAAAATAATACACTCAATACAGAACAATACACATTTTTGTGCGCCGTGTACCACATAAAATCGGTTCGAGGTCAGTAAACACAACCAGAATTAATACATAAGGTGCACCGGCTTATAAGGCTCACTGTCGATTTTTGAGAAAATTAAAGGATTTTAAGTACGCTGTATAGTCCCAAAATATGGTATATTTATAAGTTTAATCCAGTACAGTGGCGATTTTAGCATCTTTTTGGGGGTTTTCAAACACCCCTAAATATGAACTCAGCATCCCTGAAAAATTAAGAAACCATCTTTACGATTTTGTAAGAAAACTCAGTTCTCTAACCTTAGAGTCACCAAAGTACTGAATAAATTTGGAAAAAATATGGAATAAATGATGTCACTCTTAAACGGCCCAGTAAAATCTATGATTTTTTTTTTTTGCGCGAGTCCGATCCTTTAACACCCACCACCTGTCAATCAGTCCAGTAGGCTTGTCAGCAAGCGACCAGTCGGCGATCACAATTTGTCCCAAAAGTAAGCACCCCTTACCTACAGGAGGTCTACCCCCTTGTCCTCTGACAACATTGTCAGTGTTTTGCTTTACGGACGCTTTGCGGTCAGAGGGATTTTGTGAAAAATCATCAGAAAAATTGTTGAACGCTGTCAGTGGAAAACATTTAATTCAGACACGTGTTACCCTGAGCGGTTTTTTTTTTTTTTGGGGGGGGGGGGGGGGGGTGGGGGGGCAAAGCAGAATGTGCTCTTTTCACACAATAGCTGTTGGTCAGGCTACTTCTTGTTGCTCTCTTAAATAGTTATTGAATCAAGTGTTTACTTATGTAGATAAACATAGATGATTAACAACCCATTATAATACACCAGAATGCAGAAAATGGCATCTACACTACTCAAAATTTTCTGGGGGAGGACCCCCATCAATGTGTCTCCCCCCACCCCAAATTACAAATGCTTCTGACACCTGTCACTGCACGATCCGTATCGTCAGCTCATTTGCGCATGCGCTAAAAGAAATACGTCTGGGAGGGCTTTAGACATTGTAGATCACAAAATTAATGGATTTTCTGTCTTAATATCAAAATGTATATAATATATGTGTTGTATTAAATCAGCTTACAGGATATCATTTTGCACATTTTTATAATTAAGGCTGGAAGTCATTATTTCCAGTACATTTTCCTAAATCTCGTATATTCAAATGCATTTCTTTTAGCGCATGCACAATTGAGCTGACGGTACAGATCGTGCTTTCGGAACAGATAGTGCAGTGACATCGCCAATGGCCACCGTGTTCAAGTCAAGAGCCACTGTCAGCACTGGGGGCTGAGCACCCCTAAAGCTCAGAGCCTAGAATCACCCCTGATCCTGTGGTTTTATTCAACAATTTAGGTGCTGTATTTGTCAAAAGACAGAAAATGACAATTCCCTTGCTCCACGGTGATCAATATTCAATTGAAATAGGCTTTTGCAAATGCTTCCTTCTATTGACCCACTCCAGCTGTATTGCCTTGGCTGAGCTTTATCAGATCTAAGTACAAACCAGTTCACGTGTAATTAGTTTAGTGTGTGCGGTGCTGTAAATCACACCCCAGATAAAAATGTCATGCAGATGAAATAACAGAAAGCAGTCATTACTTTAAAGATGATCCCGTGTTTTTCCTTTGTTTTCATTTGTTTTCATTTTCTCAGAGAGCTGCCATGGCCGATGATCACAACGCAGATATTTGTCAGAATTCAGAATGGTATTATGTGTGTAACGCTTTTTATTTTAGATTCTAACTCAGAGAAAATACAGAAAGAATCAAACAGTGTCTTTACTGCTTCTGTTTTTGTTTGTTTACCCCCCCCCAAAAAAAAAAGAGATGTGTAATGGGAAAAAAAAATGGCTGTGTGTGTTTCTGTGCATGTGGGCGAGAAGTGGTGCGTTTTGTTAGTTTTAACAGCATCTCCAACTTCGCTCTGCTCATAAAGTCAGACGATATAACCCTCACTGAGTTTATTATTCCCTCCCTACAAACATTAAATCGGTTTGTTTAGCAGCATTGTGGATAATTTCTTTTGGGGTCAGAGGAAAAAGAACTGTTCTCAACAATAAACTGAGGGGTCTCACTGTGTTGAAAAACACATTTTACACAATGTAAAATCAGAATACACATTTTTTTCTTGGTTTTATAATGGTAAATTGCAATATTTATGCATTTGTAATTCAGCACTTGTTAGAGTATTTTGATAGACACTAGCTGATTTCTATTTGTTATCACTGCCTTTAATCAAAGTCTGATTATTCCAGCACCGATCGAGAGGTGTGAGTCAACAACTCCTTCGTAATGAGCTACACATTTAAACTGTGTGTGTTTTTGGTTGAATCCCATTTCCCAGAGCTAACCCTTACTCTTTGAACGTTAAGTTGAAGTCACAAAGTGCGCTGGTTAAAATATTCCACTGTAGACTAATACACTTCTTTGAAAAGCCAATAAGCCATCACTGGCTACAACCCCACATCTTTACCCTTCATTAGTCTGCTATCAGCACCACACACAATTTACGGCTATCCGGGCTTTTTACAATGTTTTTTTTTTTTTTCCATTCTTCAATCATAGCACGACAGTTAAGCATAGCGATAACCTTTTAAACTAAGAAAGAATGACATTCTGAACGCAAATAAAATCTACACACCTCGTGCTGTTTTGGAGTCTAAACGACCAACAAGGTCTCAGTTTTAAAATTACGACCTTGTGGGTCATTATGACCCAATGGCATCAGGAGGGTGAAAAATGACCATGCCCTTAAAATTGGAATGAAGACTCAAATATTTCAGTCACTGCACACCATTAATATTTAGTTATGTAGCTTGCAGCAGGCTTCACTATATGTTGTTCTTTTGTGCTTAAAGACAATTGACAAAATAATATAAAACAAAATGTTAGAATACACCAAACTAGGCATTACAATGGCTGTTGTGGCAATAAAATATTTGTTTGCCAGAGCAAGTTATACCTCTTTGTTTGAACTGTCTTTAAATTTCTATTTTATGGCCTATCCGTTCACCCTCCTTATACATCCCCCCAAACATTTGGAAATGCTACTATCCAGCATGAATGGTCAAAACACAAGTATAGGGCTAAGTAGTAGGGGTAAGAGGTGAAATGGGATTTGACTTTAATATCAATTGCTATTCTTATTTTTTAATACCTGCCAATGTAACTCTATAATTGTCTTTCCCAATTTTTGGCTCCTCAGTTTTCCTGTGCCCAGGGCTTCTGCGTAGGGTATACCAGAGCGAGCACCTCTTCGAATCGGACCACCAGTCTGGGGCCTGGTGCAAAGATCCTCTCCAGGCCTCGGATAAGATATATTACATGCCTTGGACACCGTATCGTACGGACACCTTGACTGAATACTCATCGAAGGAGGACTTTATCGCTGGGAGGCCAACAACAACCTACAAACTGCCACATCGTGTCGATGGAACAGGCTTTGTGGTCTACGACGGTGCTTTGTTTTTCAATAAGGAACGCACACGCAACATTGTCAAGTTTGACCTGCGAACTCGCATCAAGAGTGGTGAGGCTATTATAGCTAATGCCAACTATCATGACACATCTCCATACCGCTGGGGAGGAAAATCAGACATCGACTTGGCTGTGGATGAAAATGGACTTTGGGTGATTTATGCCACTGAGCAAAACAACGGGCGGATTGTCATCAGCCAACTCAATCCCTACACACTACGGGTTGAAGGGACCTGGGACACAGCTTATGACAAGCGTTCAGCTTCCAATGCTTTCATGATTTGTGGGATCCTGTATGTGGTTAAGTCAGTCTATGAGGATGATGACAACGAAGCAACAGGAAACAAGATCGACTACATCTACAACACAGAATTAAGTAAAGATGGATTTCTGGACATCCCTTTCCCTAACTCTTATCAGTACATTGCCGCTGTGGATTATAATCCCAGGGACAACCTGCTGTATGTCTGGAACAACTACCATGTTGTCAAGTATTCTCTGGATTTTGGAGCATTAGACAACAGACTCGGTAAGACCAGACTTACTTTTTACACTCATTTTTTTTCCTTCACATTGAGCAAAATGTGAAGACAGCATTTATTTTAAATACCGTAAAAGAGGGTGAATCATATTTGATTTTCTCTCATGTAGGATTCTAAAAGACACAAAAAACAACATCTACTGACATGTTTTTACTGTAGCTATCTGCTAAATCTCCAGTATTAGTATTAGTATGTACCTGGTAAATTAAAGTCATGTTCCCCGTAAGATTGAAACTTTCAGATTTAGACATTCGATAAGCCTTTCACCATCACAAGCACTCTAGCAAAATCCTCTTTATTGTTGTCCATTGGATTTTCTGACAATTTTCTTCTCAGAAAGATTTAAAATTTTTTACTTATTTGACCTATGGCCTGCCATTTTTTATGGTTATAGAAAAGCACTCAGAATGTTGCTTTTGACTCTGAGTTTTTACTGTGTTGAATGTATAGAACAGCCTGACATGAAATGCTTTGAATTGTTTTGTGAGTATTGTGAGTTCAAGTTCAAGTATCTTTATTATCCCCAAGGGGCAATTAGTTTCACAGTCAGTAGATTTAAAACATCCATACTAGACAAGACATTAAGGCATTAAAATGACAATATGGAAGTCATCAATGTTCATTGAGAAGCCTGATCACTTGGATGAATGAGTTTTTCAGTCTGTTTGTTCTACATCTGGGCTGCAGATACCTGCATCCAGATGGAAGCAACCTGAACTCACTGTGGAGTGGGTGATCAGGATCTGCCAGAATCAACCTGGCCTTGTTCAGTGACCTCGTCTTGTGTAGGTCAATGAGCTTCTGTAGTGCGATGCCAGCAGTTTTGCTGCTCGTCCTCACAATCCCAGAGAGTTTGTTCCTGTGTTTGCATGTTACATTATTGTAATATTTTGAGCAAATAGGTTGATCAAAAGTATGTGAAATGTCCTACGATAGAAATTTGGGAATGTGTGGGCTGGTGAAAGGTAGCTGTAGGGATGTGATCAATGTGTTACTCCTGTATTTGAAACTAGGCCTGTTGCGATAAACAATAAATCAATTAATCGCATGATCAATGAAAATTATCAACCTCATTTTCATTTACCGGCTTTATCGTTTCTTCGTGTCTCTACTGAAGACACGACTCAACTCTTGTGCTCTTCACTGACCCCTCATTTTCTCTTTTCTCTTTAAAATCTGTGTTAACCATCCAAAATCGTGTTTTTGGATTGTTTAAAGCAGCTAAGCTGAGAAGCTAAGCTACGAGCTAAGCTAACAGGCCAACCTCGGAAATAAACTTCCGTCTTGTCGAGCTCCAAAATTCATGGTTGAAACCTGTGCCTTTGTGTAAAAATTTGTTTTTCTCTGCAAAAAGAAGCTGAGAACTTGTTTACTTATTTTTTTTAAATTAAAAGCTTTGTGTGAAAAATGCTGTGGTAAAGAGCTCAAACCACACAGAGCGTCAACCATGTCACGTCAAGAGCCCTCCCTCCCATTTTTCTTAGAGACACACTGCTCAATTATCCATCCTTTGGTTCAAACAGTCTTATACTGCCATCCGGTGGTCAAAAAAAATACTACAACCAAACAAATCAACATTTCTTCTAAAATTTGCCAATTAATTTTTGTAAAATTTCAAACAATATTATCGTTTATCGCAATAATTTCTGAGACAGTTATTTGCCCAGCAAAATTTGTTATCGTGACAGGCCTATTTGAAACTTGATAGACGGAATCCAAGTCACAAACAGATTCTGGCTGTAGATTAGCAAAGAATTGCTAATTCAGTTGCCTTTTTCCATTGCTTGTAAGCAAGGCAATGTCATTTCAGTGTTTCACTGCTAAAATGTTGTAGTGTCAGTTACATTTTATCAAAAGAGGAATGTTTCAGGTTTTGACAAAAGTTCCTTAAAACATTTTTTACCACACTTGGTTATTTATTCACCCTGGAGCCTATCAATGTAAAGTATAGGCATATAGCCATTAACCTAACATACATGTGTTTAGACTTAGATGAAAGTAGTGCACCAACAGAAAGTATATAGTTATATAGTTATAAAGGCCTTAAAAAGTTTTAACCATACACAGGTTTGGTTAAATTGTATTAAAACAAACGCACAAACACATAGAACACCTGACTGTGTAAAATAATAAAGTCATAATAGATAATATAATAATAAAGTCCCAGAATAAAGTCATTAGGTTCAAAGTAAAACTCAATTGGAAAATGATAATTATGCACAGATGACAGCTTCAAAAAAATTGCGGTTTCCTGTGCTTTTTGGAATTGTAAGTAGACACAGTTTTCAACAAGAATGGGGGAAAAAAGTATTTTTAGTGTTTGTCTTATTTATTCGTTGCATGGTCAGTAATCATCCAGGCTTATTATCTGTCAATATTGGACTTTGTGAAGGTTTCACTTTTAATTAAGGCTTTTCAGATTGAGCTCGTACTGTAAGTGTAAGGTCTTCAACTTGGGAGGTTTTGAATTGCAGCACTGCTTTTTGCCGATGATGTGATGTTGTTCGCCTCATTGAGCTAAACTGTCAGTGCTTCTTGAGGCAGTTTAACATTGGCAGTGAAGCAGCTGGGGTGAAGATCAGCACCTCCAAGTTTGAGGCAATGGTTCTCAACTGGAAAAGGATGAATTTCTACCTTGGTGTTGGGAGTGGGCTACTACTCCAAGTTAATGGCTCCAAGTGTTTTGTGTTTTGTTCATTAGCGGGGGTGGAATGGAGCGGGACACCGATAGGTGGATTGGAGTAGCATCTGCAGTGATGTGGACGCTGTACTGGTCTTTTGTGGAGAACATAAACTATTATTGGATTTGCTACCTGGATGATTGAGCATGAACTTTGTTGATTTGACTTAGCCTTTAGGAAAGGATGAGAAGTTTGGCTATTTGGGAGGCGTGTCAAATTGCTAATCTGAATCGTTGTAAGAAGTTAGCTGAAATGGTTCAGGCATCTAGTAAGGATGGCATCTAGGCATGTACAGACGAAGATATTTTGGACATTTCCCACCAGGAAGAGACCTCAGGTTAGACTTACTGGAACGTTTAGACCTCTCAGCTAGCCTGGGACCACCCCAGAACCCCTTCATATTGGCTGGGAAGATAGAGGTCTGGGAATTTCTGCTTAAGTTACTTCTCTCACAACCTTTTTTTTATTTTATTTTTAATTTTATTTAGTTTTTCCAAAAAGTGGCAGAAGCTGACTTTATGGAAGGATAGTTCATAGACATCATTGGTAACATGATAACAGCTAAATTTATTTTTCTACCAACCACAGATAAATTCCCAAGTTTTTCAACACTGTATATCTTTTTGGGTTTTCTACACATATGTATTTTAGCCACTTGTTTGAAGTCTTTCACCCAAGCTTTAGGAAAAGTACTGCTTGCAGCAAACTTTCCAAAACTTGTTTAAGTCCAGTTTCTCCCTTCCATTGTTCTTTTTATAAATCTGTAGTCGTTGGAAAGCTTATAACAGGAACAGAGAAGCTGTTTTGACACACCAAGGTAATTCTTCGCTCTGTCTCATCAACAGCTGTAGTCAAAAATGTCACAAGTTATTTGACTGTGAAATCCCCACCTCTGCTTTCTCCTCTAGAGCCTTTTCTACCTGCTGCCTGCCAGTTGAATTTATTTCCCTTTGCTGGCTGCAACTTTTTCCCTAAACCCATGTTTTTTTGTTGGTTTTTTTGTTATTCGAAGTCCCGCTTCAACACACCCCATAACATATTCATTTATTCAATAACCACAGTGTTTGGTTTTGAAGATATACAGCTACCCATCATAATTTGTTGTAGTTACAGAGAATGAAGTGTTGCTGTTATGCGCTTTCCGGATTGCAAAATTTTTACTGTTTAACAACACACAGTGTTACACAAATTATTATAGACATAACATGCATACACAAAATACTAGACATTCTGGTGAAACGTGTTTGGCAGCTGTTGCAGACTAGGCTCCCCCTCCAAAGCACCATCTGCATGAATATAGATAGTAAAATGTGGCATTAAGTAGATGGATGGAGTCAGAAAATAAGTATAAATGTCAGATAAACAGATAAATAAGTAATAAAAGAGCGATTGAATGGACTCTACAATAATGAGCATCCAATTTGATCCACAGCTTTATTCTGAGTAAAGCGAGTGTGAACGTTATCTACTCTACAGACTTATTTGTCTAAATTTGAAATGGTAAGACAATTACAACTAAATTATTTTAAGCAGCATTAGTATACTACTTCACTGCACACAAATTAGTTTGTGTTTCCAGTTTGCGTCAAATTGTTTACTGTTTATTTGCTACTCCATTGATGTTGGGTGGAGATCCGAGAGCAAAAAGAGAGAGCTAGAAAAGTTTTGGAGTTTGAAACTTTTTGTGACAGATTTTCAAAAAGAATTCAGGAAACCATCGATGCAATCATTTGGTGCATTTACCGCTATCCAGCGGGGCTCAAAGGCCTGACTAGAAGAGCGAGACTTGCCAAAACACCCGAGTCTAAAGTCAGTGCAGCATCTTTGTTTTGTTGCCAACACGTGCTTTGGAAATTTGATCCAGTGTCATGATCACAGCGTCTGTTAACGCTCAGAGAAAGGTGTCGTTCGCTAATCGGGCTAACGCTTGCTCATTTCCACTTATGCTTTCTGATCTTGTGAGAATGCCTGACCTGCCACATCAGTGGAGCGGGGACAGTCAGCAGAGCAGCAGACACGAGGCCAGAACCACAGCTGGGGCCAGCACTCCACTGCAAGAGCTATGACACAGAACACACAGGGTAGAGATGGCTGAAGCAAAGCATGTGCACAAATAATTCACTTTCTTCTAATACAGAAATCTTACATTTTAAGAGGATAAATGAACATAAAACAAGAGGGAAAGAACCAAAAACGTGCATGAAAATTCTTGTTATAATCAAAGTCTACCTCTCTGGGTGGTTGGCTGACAGTTGAAGAAAATCATTGTCTCTCACATATCCATTAGTCCCTGTTACTCATACCCA